AAAAAAATAGAAAACAAAAGGGAAAAAAGTTGTGTAACGTCCAAACCCATTAAGATAAAATTAACTGAGCCAAACCGCGAAATTTTCAAAGACTTCACGGACCCCAGCCCCAAATTTTTACTAAACTTAACTCCCAAATTTTGGTTCACCCCAAAAAAAGTGGAGGTTTTTGCCTGTCCCAAAAAAAAAAAAAAAAAAAAAAGGTTGGGGGGGGGTTTTTTGGGGGGGGGGGGGGGGGAGGGTGCGAAGAGACGAAGTTTATGGCGCAAAATATAACCTTAACGAGAAATGCAACAACATGTGAAGCAAAATGTAACATTAAATCGTAATGTAACAACTTTAACATAAAATGCAATAACTTTCTAACGTGAAATGTAACTCAAATTGTAAAAACTTTATACTAAAGGAATATGTGACAATGTAACTGTAACTAAATTCTTTAACTACAAACAGAAGTTTATTAAAACATATAAACTTTCTTACGAGTCATGTTGTCAATTGCGATTTTCTATCGATTCATTTATATACTTCATCGTCTAATAAGAATCACCACTGAAAAGTATCCAAGAAAAACGTGTTGCATTCTTTATTACAAGACACGTAGGGGGCGTCCTTTTAACACTGATCGAAAAAAACGAGTTGCAAATCTATATCCTATCCTACGGTGAAGCAGAACGTTTCTCAGTCTCAAACCCTAGATAAAACTTGTAGTCCGGGACTATACACTGGCGGTATTCTGTTGCATTCTTTATCACAAGCTATAAGGCACATAAGCTAAGGGTTGTCTAAAAACAGAAAATTATGTCCTTTTTACGCAGACTTGAAAAAATGAATCGTAAATCTATATCCTGCGAGGCAGAACTCATAACCTAGATAAAACTTAGATATAACTGGACTAACGGGACTATAAAACCGCGTTGCTGACGTCTGCGCGCTATAACATCCAACCTACGGTCGACTCCGGGCAGGTTTCTTCGAATACATTGCATAACGATAGCATGCGCACTAGCATGTTAAAACCAGGCAGCGGTTGTTCAATCGATGGATAGCGTTATCCGCTGGATAAATCTCTATCCAGTGTATAACACAATTAGGCACATCTTTCTGGTAGTAGGAATCTCCTGCTTCCAAACTATACTTATCCGCTAGATAGCGCTAGTTAACGTTTCAACAACTGGGGCCATTTTTTTCTTGTAATTTGTTTATCCACGGGCCACTTAGGAGTTCTTAAGAACTCGTTGAAACGGGTACCTGCGTTCGACTGCGAATTGGAAATTGAAAGTATTGGTTTTTAAGGAGAGGGGAAAGCCGAAGTACCCGGAGAAAACCTCTGGGAGCAAGGGAGAAAACCAACAACAAACTCAACCCACATATGTCGTCGACGCCAGGATTTGAACCCGGGCCACATTGGTGGGAGGCGAGCGTGAGATACGCCTTTTAAGAGAACGGGATGGAGGGGTGAAAAATACATGTAGCTCTTCTCCGATCCATTTCGTATGGTTATCTTTACTGGTCGATGAATTACCCAACGAAAGAGTAGAGAGAAATAGTCAAATATTTTTCAAATAAATAACTCTTGCCATCATAAGACTTCGATATGGCAGATCTCAGGCTGACTCGTACCCAGTCGTCTCTCAGTCTAAAAGAGAAAAGCGCGAGGCAGACGCCGTATTTGAAACCTTAAGCAGCAGGTTTTTCAGTTTGCAGTTACAAGTTTGCAGTTCCACGTTGCCGGGATTTCAAATTTAAGCAAGGCGTTCATTGCTTAGTGCCGCCATGTTGTTTTTCGTAAATTCGAAATTCTTCGTTTTTTTGGCCCAAAAACATAAATAATTCATTGCTTCGAAATCAAAAATCTAAGTAGCACATCACAAGTGGATATAGAAAGCTGATTCGTGCCTTTAAACGTGAGGCTGTACAATTTTTAGAGGCAAAAAAAGCCTTGCCGTAAGTTACTTACCGCTGAAAGCCCTTCCTGCCGTTCAAACGCGAACTCTAAACGGCAAACGCGACCGCAAGACCGTGGTCACGTGACATTCCCAGGTTTGCAATTTCCCATGAAAAACCTGATGCTAAAGGTTTCTGCTCTCTCGGGACCGCTTACAAAATGATAAGAGACGGAAACGAGTCAGGGTCTCAGAGCCGCCAGCGCGCGAGAAGAATGAGGCGAGGAACTAATTCGCACCCATCGACTTCTAGATTACATAGTCTGCAATAATATGCCCGGATTTGTTGACTCCATATCGCTAGAATTGGGGCCAGCCCGATATCATGTTCTATGGGCGTTTTTGTTTTTATGTAGATAAATGTTGTTATTGTACTCTACCCCTCTTGACACGGGTGTCTGTAAAACGCGGACCGGATATCTGCGGATGACGCATGCGGATCCGGACGGGAAAATGCGGATGGAAAAATGCGGAAAGAAAAAAAATACAGGCAATAGTATAATAATAATATTTTGAATTTGTGCATTTTACTAAAGCATGTGTTTTTTCGTCTCTGGTTCTGTTATATTTAAATCCCGATTATAAATAATAGTTTGATATCCATCATCGGAGAGAAAACACGTATATAAAGTTGTTGGGATAACTTTTTATTTTTGAATTAAAAAAGAAAGAAACTGGAAAAATAAGACAAAATAAACCAAAAAAAAAAGGTGAACTGCGCGAAAAAAATCGGCGTGCGTTGCTTTGCCTATTTCGCGTTCGCCTCGTGAATCGCCCTGTTTCCCCACAAAGGAGCCTGGTATTGAAAAGGCTCTTCATGTAACGCTGCACACTCTGCCTGGACTCTGGCAACTCTGCCATGGAAGACAGTTCAGAGCGTGGCAGAGTCACACTACGAACTGCCCGTTTTTGAGATCAAAAGNGTTCGCCTCGTGAATCGCCCTGTTTCCCCACAAAGGAGCCTGGTATTGAAAAGGCTCTTCATGTAACGCTGCACACTCTGCCTGGACTCTGGCAACTCTGCCATGGAAGACAGTTCAGAGCGTGGCAGAGTCACACTACGAACTGCCCGTTTTTGAGATCAAAAGGTAAGTTACTGTTATACAGTAATGGTTTTCTATTCCATTTTCTGGTCTTTTCTAATTTCCTGAGCAAACTGCGTCCTTTTAAGAGTGGCTGTCTGTAAGGATTGAGAATCGGCGGTCAGCGACCCATTTGGCGAATCCCCGATATTTTGCCCAAAGTTAGCCTTGGGTAGACTAGTTCAAAAGTCATATTCAAAAGTTCCAACGATTTTGTTTATTTGTGAAATTTGAGAAAAATTAAAAGTGCAGTCAAAATGCGGTCACAGTGCGGGTTTTTTAGTTGATCAAAAGGTGTGATGATGAACCTCTGCCAAAGTCTTAAAATGAAATCAGTTGACCTCAAAATAAAAAGAAATTCAAAGCAATCAATCTTCTACACTACCAATGTTTTAATCTTTTCAAATATGATAGTACAATGGGTTTTCAGGCCATTAAGAAAACATCTTCGGAGACCGCTTTCGATGGCGGCAAAATGTAGCTAATATTCATCAGGATAAAAATATTTCTGGTACCGAACGGATTTTGGCGGATTTTTAGTATGTTGCTAAATAGGCCACCCTTA